GGGGATGTCCACTTGCCAGCGGGGAGCAGGCCTAAGCTGCAGTTGGACATCCTTACCGCTGCTGAGGAGGCAGGAGAGGCTCCTGCCACCACCTCTGTGCTGGCAGCCATCAGCCTGGCTGAGCAGAGCTCCCCCTGTGGTAGCACACTGACCACCAGGGGGCAGCTCCTGCATTGAGTGTCTGCCCCCTGGTGGTCAGTGTGTGTCATAGTGACCAGTCATTCCCAGTCGTTCTGCTGTTAGGGTCAATTTGCATATTACCTTTTATTATATAGGATAGAGGCCTGGTGCACGGGTGGGGGCCGGCTGGTTTACCTTGAAAAGTGTCCCGGATCAAGGTGTGGGTCCCGCTAGGGTGTCTGGCCAGCCTGAATGAGGGGCTGATGGCTGTTTTCAGGCTGGCCACACCCCCTTCAGGTTGGGGGTCCCCACTGGGGTGCCTGGCCAGCCTGGGTGAGGGCTGAGGGCCGTTTTCAGGCTGGCCACAGCCACGGGCTGGAAGCAGGTATCTGGGATTTATTTATCTTCTATAATTGAAACTTTGTAGCCTTGAGTGGAGCCCAGTGCTGGCCAGGGCAGGCGGGAAGCTTGGATTCCTCCATCGCCGGGGGCAACCTAAGCCTCCTGATTGCTCCAGCTCTGTTGCCACCGTCATCTTTGTGATGGAGTGAGGGTTAATTTGCATATCACTCTTTTATTAGATAGGCTAGTGAGTAAATTGTAAATTGACCTCAAATATCATTGTTATCTCTTGCTAAAAAAATTGCCAGATTATTAAAAAAAGAGCCTGCTACCAAATTCAAATAAGCTCATTGCAAAATTCAGCAAGCCAGCCTTGCCTCCCAAAGAACCTAAAAATTACTCCCTATTGCTACCCTTCATCCTTCTGTACGGATATAAAAATATGATCTCTACTTTCTTATCCCAAGATAGGGATAATCATGGTCCAATTTCCACTTATTACCAAATATTCCCTGGAGTAGCAGGTTAGAACAGAAAGCCTTAGATGCATAAAATCTCCATGGAAAAACATGAGAATATTTATACAATACTGATATCCAGATGCTTTAGCCTCTCCACAAGTGGCTTTCCAACATTCTTCCACCAAGGATTTACTCTAATGGTTTGTGATTATTTGTCCTCTCATTCACTCTCCTGTTTCAATGTCCATGGCTTCTCTCCCTCAAGTAACAAGCAACTACTCAGACAACAAGAAAATAGAGAGAATGTCATCAGAGAAGTAACTAAAGAAACAAAAGCTGCCTTGCAAAATAAGACAACTATATCTTTCACCATAACCCAGTAGTTGTCAATTTCAGTTGCATATTAGAATTACCTTAGGAGCTTTTTCTTATTTTAAAAACATATTTTATTAATTTCAGAGAGGAAGGGAGAGGGAGAGAGAGAAACATTAATGATGAGAGAGAATCATCGATCAGCTGCCTCCTGCACGCCCCTCCCCCACCACTGGGGATCAAGTCTGAAACTCAGGCACGTGCCCTGACTGGGAATCTAACTGTGACCTCCTGTTTCATAGGTTGATGCTGAACCACTGAGCCATGCCAGCAGGGCCCATTTATACATTTTAAAAATTAATATTTAGAGGGTGGAAGAGAGAAACATTGATGTGAGAGAGAAACATTGATTGGTTGCCTCCCGCACATGCCCCAACAGGGGATTGAACCCAAAACCCGGGTATGTGTCCTGACCAGGAATCGAACTGTGACCTCCTGGTTCATAGGTCGACATCCAACCACTGAGCCATGCCAGCCGGGCACCTTAGGAGCTTTTAAATGTCCTGATGCCTAGGTCTCATTCCAAACTTATTAAATAACCAGACATCAGTATTTGTTAAAGGTCCCCCAAGAGATTGAGAACCATTACATTAACTCAAGATGAAAGCCGCTTTCTATTTTTTTACCTAAAGAAAAAATCACAAATCTTATTTTCCATATACAATTTCAGAGGATTTTTCAAGAAATTCCTAGGGTCTGATGTACTTTAAAATTAGGGAATTTCTTCCCTAGTAAAGGAAGGGAGTAGGGGGTGTTCTATTTCATTGGAATAAGGAAGCGGAAATCCTTTGCATACTCTCACATCTGCCAGGAGTTGCTTCTCCTCCTTTACAGACAGTAAAATCATCAAGCTGTTTGAGTTCTCATTAAGCAGGAGTAGTATTAGTCATAGATATCTGATTCCTACAAGATGTCCTAGGTTGCCAAGGTTCCTTCTCCTACCTCCAGTAGGTCTATCATCCTGGTCATCTGGGAGTAGATAAGGACCCTATGTCCTTGAGACTTGAGCCGAGTCAGCAGGACATCAAGGGCATACAGCTTTCCACTGTCAGTGATGAGGCTCTCCTTGCCTAGGGAGAAGAAAAGGGGGGAAGGGGAAACTGTATTTAATTGAAGCAGCAAAATCACTCACTGCAAAGCTGTATGCAGCCAAAATTATTGCAACCAGGATGCGAATAATCATGAAAGCAGGAAAGTATTCTAGAGGAGAATGCAAAGCACTGTTAAATAGTGATCCAATAGTGCTCTGGGAAGAAATATCCTGAAAGAGGGAAGTGTAGGTACCTTCCCAACCGATAGTTCCCAATCAGACACAGGCATCTGAAAACTTCCCCACTCCAACCCTCACTCAGGTACACATGGGCATTTAAAAGTGATGTCCATGTCATATCTTCTGTAAGTGACCTGAGAGACCTGCTGTTTCTTTTTCCATATTATCTCTCAATATCTGTTTCTGCTAGTCTTGTGGCTAAATGGTTTACTTTCTGGAAGTATGAGAATGTAAAGAAACAAGGCCTGCTCTTGCCAACCCCTGGAGTCACTTAAACACCAAGAAATGCAAATAAACATACCCTCTTCTGCCTTTTATTTAAAAAATATTTTTATTGAACTTTAGAGAGAGAGAGAGGAAGGGAGGGAAAGAGAGAAAGAAACATCGATGTGAGAGTGAAACATTGATCGGCTGCCTCTTGCCCTCCCCCGCAACCCCTCCACTTGGGATGGAGCCTGGAACCCGGGCATGTGCCTTGACCTGGAATAGAACAGGCAACCTCTCAGTGCATGGGACAATGCCCAACCAATTGAGCCACACCAGCCGGCTCTTCTGCCTTTAAAAAAACAACAACTCAACTCACTCTCCTGGATGATTTCAAATAGGTTGGCTGGTAAATGCCATTATCCTAAGCTATAATTTAATAAAGACACTCTAGGGCTTGTTCAGCTTTTTAAAAAGATGTTGGGTTTCTGTGAAATGGAAGCTGCTTTCACTCACTAACTTGTACTGTCTCCTTCCTCTTCCCATTAAAAAAAAAAATAATTTCAGCCAAAGATCTTAAAGAATACTTAACTCACAAATTTTCATCTTATCCATTCAGTATCATTCAACTCCCATCACATTTCAGGAAGTAGAGTTTCCTGTTTGCAGACTGGTCCATAAACATGCCCTGAACAATTGCTGTTATTAAGAGGGGAAGAGATGAGGCTTAAGGGGCTGGGAGATTTAAGAGCATATGTGGAAGTGACTGGGGAACACAAAAAGGGAGAGAGAAAGGCTAAAGTTATTATACAGACAACTAACTGCTAAAAGTAAAAAGGAAAACTATTAAGAAAAAAAAATAGTCTATCCTTAGTTTCTGGGTTTGAACCCATGGATTTTCCTCAGAACTGTGAAGCAATCTAAGGGTTCTCAATGGTCATTTCTCAGTTCTTGTTATTTGCCAAGTGCACAATTATTGTATAAACTGAACAAGAACGGATGTGCTGACAGCACCATAACAAATCATCAGCCACTCTGTTTTGCTACAAAAGCCACAGGCCCTGGATGTTTACTCCTCTGCACTGTAGCCTGCCTTTTCCCACCTTCGGAACGCTGCCAGGCTACATCTCTCCCTCCACCCCTCCACCCCCTGACGCTGTGACACACACCTTTGTTCAGCCTCTTTGTTTGGTCCTGTTTAGATTATTGAAATGCTCTTCTTTTTGTTGGTCTCCTTACCAACACAATCAAATGACTGCAGCTGGGACAGAACTAATTGCTAAGCCCTCTCTCTGGCACCAGACAAGGAGGCCTGTACAAATTCCAAGTCTGATGAGGGAGCAATGCTTTCATAGCAACTTCAAGGTTTTCTTCTTGTCACAATTACCCTTCTCCTTTAATTGGATTCCCCAGGGTCCCTCAATTTTGATGGCTCCTAAACATTCCCCACAGAGCTACCAATCAATTTCAGATAATAAGTTTCTTTCTTTTCTCATTAAAAGCACAGCAAGGTGAAAAAAAAAAAAAAGCCCATATATTTTTCAGTCATTGAGCAAGAGTGGGTAAACTAAGCTCATCTGATTTTTGCAGCCTGCTAATCTCTCTCCATTTGCATATACTCCCTCAACACAAATATTTAAGGGTGCACAAATGTCTTGCATCTGAATTTTGAGAAGTTTCAATTCATCTCAAAATCATGATTCAATGACTGTCACATATTCCTGCTTCCCACATCTATTTTATTTTGCTAAATAGAATGAACTGATGCTAGAATTCCGAAACCTCAGAGATGATGATGTGCATACACTTTGATAGACAGAACTCTGATGCACCTGAGAGAAGCAAGAACTAGTACCTGTTGTTAGCCTGTTATTGTGTAGGGGGGGGGGGGATGTGGAAGTGGACAGACTGGATTTCTTTGGATTGCCCTGAAGGAAAAGGCCTAAGAAGAGACTTCTGTAAGTCTTAAAACACTTAAATAATGAACAGCATTTGTTTTTCTGATGAACATGATAGATAGAGGTAGTCAGCCTCTAGTAATTGTCCTTATAAAGATATGCAGGAAAATTGGTTTCTTTGTATACACTGGTGTCTTCTGGGCCTGGCGTCCTTTACACAATTTTTTCGTTTTTGTTTTGTTTTGTTAATCTTCACTTTCCATCGATTTTTTGGGGGGGGGGGGGGGGAGATGGAGAGAGAAAGGGGGAGGGAGAAAGACAGAGAGAAACATCGATTTGAGAGACACATCAATTGGTTGCCTCCCGATCATGCCTCAACTGGGGTAGGGATTGAACCTGCAACCCAGGTATGTGCCCTTGACCAGAATAGAACCCATGACCCTTCAGTGAGCAGGCTGACGCTCTAACCATTGAGTAACTCAGGCCAGGGCGGTTACCCAATTTTTTAAGAGCTACCAAAGTTGCATTGGGCAAGAGTACGGCCTATTACTAAGCAGGGCGTAGAGCCAAGAACACAATTTCCTAGAAATTAGGCTGATTTTGCCAAGTCAAACCTGTGCCCAGCCCCTTCTTTAAAACAGGAGCTCAAGAAAAATGTTGAAATGAGCAGACTTACTTTCTTGCAATCTTTCCTACAATTCTGTCTTATATTCCTATAGTCTTATAATATTTTCACTTTGATACAGGTTCTTACTGACCACAGTGTAAGATCCTGCTCAGAGACAAAACGAATGTGTCTCATGGCAGTAAAATCAGGGTAACATTAAATAGTATCTCCTTTTACCAAGGGGAGGAGACTAGACTTTTGAAGGGATTGTAAATCCTTCTTCCAGTGAACATGGAGACACATTCAATGTGTGAAATCCAGGAGATTTTGGTTAGTTTCTCAAGGACCATAATGGAACCAACCCTTCCTAGGAAAATAGAAAATGTAAAAGTACAGAGAAAAGAGATAAACTATAGGTTTCCAGTGGCTCCCTCCCCTGCTGCCCTGCCCCAGCCAGTCTACAGAGCACAATAGGGTCAGTGAGGAGCTGGTTGGTTCTCACAGTAAACAGCCAGTGAGGCTGGTGCTTTTTATCGATGCGAAAAGAACTCAGACACTTCCTGCTATTTAAACAAGGTCCATTTTTCTTTCAAAGAACAGGAAAAGCCACAAGAGATTCCCACAGCGCCAGCAATAAGTCTTCTACTCCTGTACTGGGAACTAAGCAGCCAGAATGAAGACAGGAGAAAGAAGAAATATGGTGTTGTCTTGCTTCTTTCAATACCTGTGTTCATCTTCTGCCTGGGATTCTGTGGTTTTCATACCTGCTGGATTCTATCCCTCTATTCCCACCAGTATTCAAGCATTCTTTATACTTGGGGTTTCCCTCATTTTACAACAATATATCTTCACCCACTGCTTTCACATGTTCTAAGCCAATTATGAGGCCATTTACAATACTGTTCTCATATACCCAACCTACTACAGCAGGTTGACCCGAAGTCTTTTGACATTTGACAAAGTTAACATTAAAATGGAAAAACCAGGTCTTAAACCCTAATCCAGTTATCTCTTAGAAATAGCAGATTCTTTCTTTTGAATGCTTAGCTCTAGTTTACTTCCGCTATATGCCAATAAGATGAATACAATAAAAATATCAGAGAGTGTGGACAACCAAAACTAACACAATAGCTCTAAGCTACTGCTTCAGTTTGCCTGCAGGTGTAAGCAAAGAACATGAGCCCATGACCCCTGTACTCAATTTCCTTAAAAGTAGTCTCACTAAAGCAAAGATGAAAACCTCGTTTCCTTCCAACCCATGACCACGACCCCGGGAAGACTGGGAATCTGCTAGCATTTTGACACAAAACACACTGTTTTACTTCTGGTTATCACTCAGATCTCCAGCGTTTCATGCAGGACACTATGCTACTTGAACTAGGCTTTCTGTGAGTGACGACATTCTCCTTCATCCCTTTGGCAATGGCACAAGACAACCATACTCACGTGACTGAACCTTTCTACCAAGTATATTTCTACCTCCTCCCCTTTTGTAAGAGTAGCGTTCATAGCTATAAGCTTATCAAAGGAGAGTAAGCACAAATCTAAAACACATTTCTCTCTACTCAAGTCACAAATTATTTAAATATACTTACCAATAAGTTACTAAGGGCAGAAGAAGAAACAGAAACCCAAAACTTTGAATTCCCAGTATCTGAAACCACCACATGGAGCATCTCCCTGGTTTTGTCCTTGCCAAAGCTGTTAACATATTTCAAGCAAACAGAGGACTCACCTGGAATCCTGATGAAAGACCAGCCATTCTGAGGCCTGATGCTCCACAGTCCTCCAGCTGGCTCTGGGAAGAACTGGGACCGTTGATTTAGCCAGTCTGCTGCCAGTTCAGGGGCCCCATTCAACAAACACTGCTTGGCTGCCAGACTCCCTCCTTCCTTCAGCACTCGCCGCTCATACTCTGCACTTCGGTCATTGCAGTAAGAATCCAATGGCACTGCGGTGACCTACAGTCAGAGTCAAATGAGATGGTTCTTTCACATTTTCCACACCCACTAAGCCCTTTGGGAACCTCAACTTTGAAATCAACTAATTCTTGGGCTATGTGTTTTACCTTCCCTGTTCTAACAAACTAAACTTTCCTTAATAATGACTTAATGAGCCTTCCCAGGTAAAAGGTCAACCTCTTATAACATGAACCTACAACAAAACTAAAGATCCAAAGAGTGTTGGAGTTCGTGGATAAACTGGGATACCAGGTCAGGAATAATTCTATCATTCATATATATATGATGGCTTTGCAACTCCCTTCACTGCTGGATGCTGCTTTGGCAAAGTTCTATTTGCCAAATAGACTTAGAAAGTATGATTTAAGTAGAAATGGACTTGTTGCCCCCTATTAGACCTCATGAGTTTGCTGCTTATGTATTCACAACATGACATTCTACGATTCTGTGTATATATTGACCCAGTGCTCCTGCCAAAGAAGCTTATCAAAACATTTCACTAAGAACTGTTTTTAACAAGCACCCCAACATCTTAGGCTGAGCCTTGAAAATACTGCCACGGGGTATATAAACAGTCAGCTAGCTTACTATGGAGCTGCAGGTGTCTCTGCTGAGGACCAGAGAATACCAAAACCAGAGAAAGAGCATCATTTACCAAAAACCACAGAATATGCTCCCGATGAAGCTGACCTGAGTTTGCTAGGGTGCAGTGCCATCTATGGTCCAGATGCAAAACTACAGAGGGTCACAGCAAGCTGAGCCCCTAGAGCTCCAAAATGCAGACAGGCTCATACAGAAATTGGCTTATCCAGGTAGCACTAAGAGAAGGTTTTGATCATCTCATATAACATTTATCCTCTCCACAGTTTATTTCCAAGTTATATTTTTCCCACTGAAAGTTGAGCACAGGCAAATAAATACTGAAATACAAAGCAGGTGGAAAAAAATTGGGTGTTTCCCTGCTATGGTTTGTCCTGACAGTGGCCCAGCAGATAATGGATCAGAGCTGACATCTACCCTCTGAGTCCCAGAACCTCACAATCAATATCTGCTAATTCCATAAAAATAGCTAAGAAAGCAGTGGTTTGGACTACAGAAGTATGACCAGTTCTATATATCTCAAATAGCATGCATACTCTTGGATGAGTAAAACAGCCTATGAGAGACTCATACTGGCCAATTTTACACTCAAAGATAACTGCTTTGGGTTGTTTTGTTGTTTATTTTGTAGATCAGCAGAACTTATATAAAAGACTTTGGGCCCACAGTCTCAAAATGAAAAATCAAAAGCTAGAAACTTAGCCTGAAAGAACACGATCAACAGTGACACAGGGGAAAACGTTTTCCCTGCCTGGGACTCAGTACTAGGCAGTCTTAATAGTTTAAAAAACAAACCAACTTTTTTCAGTTATAAACTTTCACCTATTTCCCAACTTTCATTTTGCTGATATCCTTCCAAGTCCAGGATTGAAACTGGGAGGTTTGCAAGGCACAGTTCTTAGTGAAATATTTTTTAATGTTTTGATAAGCTTCTTTGGCAGGAGCCCTGGATCAAGATATATGCAGAATCATAGAATGTCATGTTGTGAATACGTAAGCAGCAAACTCATGAGGTTCAAGGGGGGCAAACAAGTCCATTTCTACTTAAATCCTGCTTTCTAAGTCAGCTCTGTCCTAGATAGACAGCCTTGACCCACATGGTCTTCCTGATGGTTCAGAAACAGGGGGCAATGAAGCATGACATACTATTTTCCCCTTCCCACAAATGGAAATGCATACTCCTTTCAGTACCACATAAGCTAACCTGTTTCTTGCTTCATTAACTTCCTAAACTAAAGTATCTCAGGGGCTGCCTCCTCAAGCATTCAACGCGTCCTTCCTGAGGACACGTATATTCCTGCTCTAGCTCTAGGAAGCGTGACCGCTCCAAGCGCTACAATTTTTTAATAAGATGAATTTCCAGGTCTAGTTTATGACCCCTGCAGAATTATGTTCTGGGCTAATGAGAAAACAGCTCCTATAATTCCTTCCTTAATGGCACAGTTCTTCCTGAACTGACCCTAGTTTTCATAGCATGTGCCAGGAAAATTTGTCTTAATTCAAGGCCAAGGTTGAGGATTCAAAGGAAGTCAGTTTCTCTCCATCACAGATGGGTGAGAAATAAATATAATTAAGACATTGCATGAAATGTTGCCTTATACTCCAGGCCTGATCTCAAAGGTAAGAATTTGTGTATGTGTATATAAAATACCCAGACATGTTTAAAGCTCTTTTTCCTGTCCTCATAACCATCATGTAAGTACTCCCATTTTCAGGAGGGGCTGAGTAGGATGGTGGAAAGGAGCCCTTTCGTCCAATAAAAGCTTTCTCCTATTCTAACTGCTTCCACATCTTTATACACTATGGCAGTCTTCAAGCTACTTTTTATTGTTTTTTATGGAAACAGCAGCACAATGCATGACAGTTTAGACCAGCAGTTGCCAACCGGTGGTCCGCGGACCACTGGTGGTCCGTGAGGTCTGAAAGGTTGGCAACCTTGGTTTAGACTTCTACCTCCTCCGAAAACAATACTCTGAAGTACAGTTGGGGTGCATATGTGTGACTATGTTCAGAAAATAGAGTTGTTCTTCAGAGTGGTTGACTATAGACCTTGGAATGGTAAAAACAAAGAATTTTTATGTCCATAAATGCAATTATAGTTCAAGGCAGTTCACTTTTTATTGGCTCCATAAAATACTGGGAATATGAAAAGTAAAAATATCTTGACATACGGCTCTCAAAAATCTATACTTCCTCTTCTCAGGCCTCGCGGTATACACATCATATTAGGAGAGTGAGACGGAAACAAACCACATAACCATGAAGCCTGAAGGCTGCTTTCTATGGAAGCACTTGGCTTTAGATGTTTCCTAAAAAAAGTGCATTTCTCTGTATCAACTGGATAATCAATGTAAATCAAATGAAGAGGACAGCAGCAAGGGAATCAAATTCATGTAACACAGGACCAGCAGAAAGAAATCTAGGCAGGCAGGAGTCCATGGGACTCAATAATATCATCTCATTTCCAGTCATCATCTTTCTTTGGACCCTCTGCCGGATTCTGATCTTTGATAACTTAATAAAGATGCAAGCTGATATAAATGATGGTGGGAAAAATCACTAAGGAAGATTCAAAAGACTCTCCCTTCTCTGAATAGAACTGTGAAAAAGTAAACTTGCTAGGATGAGTGGAGGAAACAAGAAAAAAGCACACAGAAGGGTAAGAAATGTCAGCCTCTTAAAGAGTCTCCTGGCTATGAAAGTTGCCCCTTAAAGCAAAAGAAAACAAGACAGAAAGACAGAAACTTGATCTTTGCTCAAACCAAAGTCTAGTCACATCTCTACTCTGCTTCTCTTCCCTTCATATCCTTCTTTGAGGTTGTATCTGGCATTGATTAATAAGGACAGAAAGAGAGAAGGTGTAAGCAAAGTAAACCACCACAGTATGCCAAGGGGGCAGCCTTTGCAACAATGCTGTCAACAATCACCGGAGTGCCCTGTTTTAGTAAACAGGTGATAGGAAGAATCCAACAGTGCTCAAAGTTAAAACTGCAACATAAACCCCCAGTCTATAAATAAGACCATGACTGCACAACAGTCACTTTTCAGAAGGAACATACTTGTGAACCACAGTGCAGGCAGGACTGCTGAGGAAAGTGAGAACACCAGACTAAGAAGTTTCTTGAAGCCAGAGTGTTATGTTTCCTTTTGTTATTTGGAGACTGCGCTGAGGCGATAAGGCCAGATCAAATCTCCCTGCCAATCTGGCCCCCTCCTCTGAAAAACCCTCAAAAACCTCAATGCAGGTGACAAATGGCTCCCTCTTCTTTTCAAATATTCCACTGTCCCTGACCTGTTGTCAAATATCACAATTGTTGTTGGGTGATAATCTACCTGACAGATGGCTTGCTGCCATGGTAGATTAGAGCCCCTGACTAAATGAGAGGAACTACAGAGGAGAGACAAGGTCAGGGGGAAAAAACCACAACTATCTACCATTCAACTATTCTTTTTAAATTTTTAATTTTTTAATCCTCACCCGAGGATATGCCTTTACTGATTTTAGAGAGAGACGGACAGGTGAGGGAGGGGAGGAAGGAGGGAGGGAGGAGCAACGATGGGTTGCCTCCCTCATGTGCCCCGACAGGGGGTTCAAACCATAACCTGGTATATGCCCTGACTGGGAAGCAAACCCATGACTTCTGGGGCATAGGAGGCTGCCTCCAACCAACTAAGCCACACCGGCCAGGGTCAATACAATTCTTAAACTAACCCAGTTCAAGGTGAGAAGTGCTGTCTTGGGAAAGCCAAGACTGTGGTGAGGATGCTTTTTCTAAATACTAAGAATCTGTATGTTTCTCAATATCCAAATAGCTTAAAACAGTCGTTTAAGATATGGATGCCTTGAAAATTTGTTTATTTCTTCCAATACCATCTACTTTGTCTCTTCCCTTCTGTGGCACTTACTCGTGGACTGGCCACACACAAAAAAGATGGTAGCTCAGTGAGCAGGCAGCAACGAAGCGAGGAGGTAGCTGATCTCCGCTGATGGATGACCTGGTCTGAGTAGCCACTCACTGCTTTACAGTGGCTGCTGAAAACCAGAGACTACAAAACAAAAAGTCAAATTAGTGCCATTGATAATTATGGTTAATGTAATCAAAACTGGGGAAAATATCACAAGTTAAACATCTGATTTAAAGGCATTCTTACTAGTATATATTATTAATTCTAATAAACAAACACTACTTATAACCAAAAGTATAATATAGACAAAATCCATACTAATTTCAAAATGTGGTTTTATTAAAGTACCTAAGCATCATTTCTAATTCTACCTTTTTCTGGAAAAGATGCTGTTAATTATAAATGGTGATACAAAACCTTCATTAGAGAAAACACTATGTAATGTATGTGCAGGGACGTTTGGTTCATTTGTTATACCATGGATGCAAACTCATGTCTTTTTTTTTTTTTAAATATGTTTTTATTGATTTTAGAGTGATAGAGGAAGGGGGAGGGAGAGAAACATCAATGAGAGAAACATCAATTGGCTGCCTCTTGCACAACCCCTACTGGGGATCGAGCCCGCAACCCGGGCATGCGCCCTGATCAGGAATCAAACCGGCAACTGCTCAGAGCATAGGGCAACAATCAAACTGAGCAACATCGGCCAGGGTGCAACCTCATGTCTTGAGTTAAAAACAATGACAACCAACAAAATTTCCTTCTAAATTTTTCTTTAAGGCAAATCTGCTTAGCATCACATGTGTGTACTAACATAGTGCAGTGTAATTCTAGTGAGGTTAGCTATTTTATTTATGCAGTGACATCAATACAAGTGGTCAGGAAGAAGAAACAGTATCTCTTTAGTTCCTCTACCTATTATTTAAAAAATATAAATTCTTCATTTAGATTACTGTATCAAAAGTACATTTTCTTTTTAGTTTCTTTTATTGTTAATCCTCACTGGAGTATAGATATTTCCCCCCTTCCTCATTGATTCTTTTGAGAGTGGAACGAAAGGGGGAAGGGGAGGAAAAAATATCCATGTGGGAGAAATACACTGATTGGTTGCTTCCTGCATGTGCCCCAACTAGGCCTGGGGATCAAACCTGCAACCCAGGTACATGTCCTTGACTGGAAATCGAATCTGAAACCCTTCAGTGCTCAGGCTGATGCTCTAACCACTGAGTGATGCCAGGCAGGGCAAAAATACATTTTCAGAGACTCCACAGCTCACGTTAAAGCTTCAGTTTACAGCCATTCATATAAAGTATGGAATTTGTCAGTGAGATTACATTATTCTATTTTTTAAAACATATTTTTATTGATTTCAGAGAGGAAGGGAGAGGGAGAGGGAGATAGAAACAACGATGAGAGAGTCCCACTGATTGGCTGCCTCCTGCATGCCCCCCACTGGGGATCGAGCCCACAACCTGGGCATGTGCCCTTGACCGGAATCGAACCTGGGACCCTTCAGTCCGTAGGCCGACGCTCTATCCACTAAGCCAAACCAGCTAGGGCTACATTGTTTTATATAACAGATGCAGTTCTTTCTTCAGTGTTAGACATTTATTGTTGGATCCTCATTTTTTATTACTTCTGTTTTACTGGCTTCTTAAATAAGGCAGGTTGATAACTTAAGTAACTGTATAGATGAAGATAATACACAACGTAGTCAAATTTATACATTGCTGTAAAGTCAAGAAAAAACAAACAAACTGCTAGATGAACAGTTACCAGCATCCTCTGCAGGACAATAGCTATAGTTCCAGTACCAAAAACTTCCAGTACCATATCTTCAAGGTGTCTTTATTCAATACATATCTTCTCCCAAAGTAAATGGGTTCTTTAGGATCACAGTTTGAGAGAAGTCACCTCAAGTTGTCTAGTAGGACATGTGTATCATAATCAGTTTCCATGAAACAATTAACATCTAAATAATGGTCATGAACAAAATAAAAGGCTTTAACTGTCTCCAGAACAGGTGGGCCAGCTTTGGTGGTTTCTAATCACACCATAGGAAGTCTTTACAATGCTTTATTACAATAGTGGGTCCATGTAGTTTTGCTCAGCCAGTGGTTGAGCATCGACCTATGCACGAGAAGGTTGTACAGTTCGATTCCCAGTCAGGGCACATGCCCCGATTGTGGGCTCAATCCCTGGTGTGGGGCATGCAGGGGGCAGCCAATCAATTATTCTCTCTCATCATTGTTTCCTTCTCCCTCTCCCTTCCTCTTTGAAATCAATTAAAAAAAAACAAAACCTAAAAAAAATACATGACACAAAAAACCACACCACCACCAAAATAATGGTGGGTTCATGTAGTTTTGATGTGCTTGACCTTTTTCTCTAGATATTGAGGTCCCTGTTATTACCCACAAAAGAATTTGAAGCTTCTGATAGTTTTTTGTTGTTGTTAATCCTCACCCGAAGATATTTTTTTCCATTGCCTTTCAGAGAGAGTGAGAAGGAGGGAGGGAGGGGGAGATAGATAGCCAGGTATGTGCCCTGACTGGGATTTGAACCCACAACATTTTGGTGTAGGGATGATGCTCCAACCAACTGAGCCACCCAGCCAGGGCTTACCTAAAGACTTTGAATTCTTTACTAACTTCTAAAGAAAAATAAACAATGTCTCTGTCAGGGATTTCTTAGTCACCCTCATTTTAAGTATTCTCAAATGGCAAAAACCAACAGAACCCTATTTTTATTTCACTCCTAGCTGGTTTGGCTCAGTGGATAGAGCATCTATTGTCCTGCGGACTGAAGGGTCCCAGGTTCGATTCCGGTCAAGTTCACATGCCTGGGTTGCAGGCTCGATCCCCAGTAGGGGGTGTGCAGGAGGCAACCAACCAATGATTCTCATCATTAATGTTTCTCGCTCTCCCTCTCCCTTCATCTTTGAAATCAATAAAAAATATATTTTAAAAAATCCTTAAAATAAAAAAAAATGAAAGAATAAATATTTCCTTCAATTATTTTCTCTTCAACATTATAGTTATTAATAAGAAAGGGATACAAATTTCACGGTAGAAAGTCCTTTTAACACAATATGTCATTTGTCATAAAGTTCTGGAAAAAGTCCAACAATTCTATTTCCAGAGATGGTCATTCTCAAATTAGGACATGTTCACTTATCTTATAGGAGCTAGGTTAAAATGATAGTCTCATCCTAGCTGGTTTGGCTCAGTGGATAGAGCATCAGCCTGAGGACTGAAGGGTCCCGGGTTCGATTCTGGTAAAGGGCACATGCCAGGGTTGTGGGCTCGATCCCCAGTAGGGGGCGTGCAGGAGGTAGCTGATCAATGATTCTCTCTCACCATTGATGTTTCTATCTCTCCCTCTCCCTTCCTCTCTGAAATCAATAAAAATATATTTAGAAAAAAAAGATGGTAGTCTCATTGGAAGTCACTAAGTCAAGGTGATTTATAAACTTCTGATTCCTGATTAAAAAAAAAAAAATTCACAGGTCAAAATGTTCAACATATACAGCCTTAGCTTTAGAGAAACCCTGACTGCTGCTGCCCTATTTTACTCAATCTATACTTTTCTAGATTATATTCTTTTAACATTGATTCTACTCAACCTTCCTTAGTACAGCGAGTCCATTAATGGTACCACACTATCCACATTCTCTTCACATAAATGACATGAACTGCTAGACACAGAAAAATTCAACATGTAACAAAGAAGAACACAAAGGACACCTTAAACGCCACTGTGTAGGAAGCTTAAGGGGATAGGACAGAAATGAAGGGTCATTATTTCTTTAGTCTACTTTGGCCTAAAACAAATTAGAAAAAAAGAAACAGAATGTCACACTATAAGAGATGTAACTTGGTTATAATGTGTCCTAGGTTTTGCTATTCTGTTGTCCCTTCCTCATGTTTTTGAATGTCTCATTACATTGTTGACAATGGCAGCTGTATGCATCTTGCTGCCAGCAGTGAAATCAGGCTTTTGTAATTCTTTTGGCCCCATGTAAAAGTCAAGTGAAAATAAGTAGGGCAGAATGATAGAAAACACAGACGTTTTCCCCTCAGATACAGACATACCCATTTATACATAAAAATAAAAAAAAATAAAAAAAATATATGTATATTGATTTCAGAGAGGAAGGGAGAGGGAGAAATAGAAACATCAATGATGAGAAACATTGATGGGCTGCTTCCTGCAACTCCCCACCCCCATCCCCAATGGGGATCGAGTCCGCAACGCAGCATGTGCCCTGACCCGGAATCGAACCGTGACCTCCTGGTTCATAGATCGACGCTCAACCACTAAGCCATGCAAGCTGGGCCCATTTATACATTTTTAAAATTGATATTTAGAGAGCAGAAGGGAGAGAGAAATATTGATGTGAGAGAGAAACATTGATCGGTTGCCTCCCGCACATGCCCCGACCGGGATTGAACTCGAAACCCGGGTATGTGCCCTGACCAGGAATCAAACCTTTCAGTGTATGGGAAGATGCTCCAACTGAGCCACATTGGCCAGAGCTAGACTTACCCATTTAAAAAGGGTTCATACTTTGCTCTCCATGTCTTATTTAAATTTAAAAGCATGCTTATGTTAACATTAGTTCTTCGTTACTTAGAAACTGATTTTTTTGTTCTTAAATAACATCAAATTTAGATATAGAGAAAAGGTCTCACTTTATTTTTTAATGAAAAATTTTTTTTTTATTTCAGAGAGGTAGGGGGAGGGAGAGAGAAAGAGATAGAAACATCACTGATGAGAGAGAATCATTGATCAGCTGCCTCCTACACACCCTTTATTGGAGATTGAGCCCGCAACTGGGGCATGTGCCCTGACTGGGAATCAAACTGTGACCTAATGGTTCACAGGTCGATGCTCAACCACTGTGTCACACTGGTTGGGCAAAAGGTCTCATTTTAAGTGAAAGGGCATAATGTTTATAAATCAACTGCTAGACTACATGGATTCTATTTTCAGAGATATTCTAAGTGATCAAACAAAAAAGGGGAAAGTAAAATAGAGACAAAGCCTGAACACAATGTCTTCCCAGGGCTTTCTACAAGAGGTGTTGGCAGCTCTCACAATCTAAGGAAATGATAGACAGACAGACAGATAGATAGACA